ACTTAACATATATGAGAGAGAAATGAACTTGTGTCATTGTTCTCTTGGCCTATCTCCCCCAGAGCCCAGATTTTAGCCTTTGACGAAGTCCCCTGACCTCATGGCCTTTTGTCAATCACAGTAAATCTAATCCTAAGTAACACGTAAGATACAACTCTGCCATGCTTGTAGCTGCAATCACCCACCATCTAGATGCCGATGACCTTCAGATTTTCCCCAACCTAATTCTGACAGTTCACCAGAACCCTCCATAGAGTTGCCGATGTCTCCCCAACCTGCCTCTTCCGAAGTGCTTCTCATCTCAAGAAAGGACACCTCCACACCTCCAGCATCCTGTAAGTTACTTTTGATTTCCTTTCCTCTCACGCTATCTCTCTCACTTCCATAAAACCCCAAATCTCCCATTCTGCCTCCTAAAAAGAATCTACTCCTCCACTCCGCCTCCAAAGTTACTGTCCCAGCTCAGGCCCTCACTACTCCACACCTGGTCCATTACAACCACCTCCTAACTGGTGTCACTGCCTCCAGTCTTCACCCCATGGCCTGCCCTGTCCACTTTAAAACTCTTCCATGACTCCCCTTGGTCTCAAGGATAAAATGCGAGCTTTCTAGGTAAACATCACGACCTCCTGCCTTCTGCCACCTCATCTCCTAGGCCCTCACCCCTCCCTCGGCACCTCCTCCTACAGGATATGACACAAAGAATTTGCCACAGCTCTAACACACGGTGATTCTGTTTTTGTACATGCTGTTCCCTCTGTCTCAAATGCCCTTCCCAACTCCTCTGCTTGGTAAACTCTTACTCCTCCTTCAAGGCCCAGGCAAAGATTCCCTTCTCCACAAGGCCTTGCCTTGTTTTCCCAGGAAAAGCAGCTTGTTGATCCCTGTTCTGTGCTGCTGCTGAACTTGCACATCTAACTCAGGGCTCATCTCACCACATTCACGGTGGGGCAAGTTCAGGTCCTCTGAGCTGTTATGTTCCAGATGAAGTCAGGGAGGCTGTCTCCCTGACTGGCACTGGGCAACCTGGGGAGGGATCCCATTGTATTATATTTGGAATCCATGGGAAGGTCAGGTTGACACAGAATAGGTGCCCAGAACACAACATTGTTACCCATTTACTAAGCCCCTACTATTGTGCCAATTTCTGAGCTAGATGTTTTATCCTAATGATCTCATTTTATCCTCAAAATCACCTTGCCTGGAGACCTGAGACAGAGATTCAGAGAGTCTGAGCAGCTGTTTCAGGTCACGCAGCTTGAGCAGAGCAGTACTGGAGCCTGACTGTCCATCTGCCACATTTGGTTCTCCCTTGGGAAATGGCCCTACCCTAGACTCCCCAGACATGGTCTCCAGGGAACACCCAGAGCTAACTGGGTGTGGAAAACCTCTTTGTCCTTTTATTCAGCTAACAAGTTAGGATTTCTTAAAAAGGAACTTTTAATAAGAAACCAAGGAAAAGCCCCAAAATTTATTTATTTATATGTATAATTTATTTTATATATAAATTATATATAGATATAATGATTACATATAATTTATTATGTATAACATATAATTTATGTATGATTTACATATATAGTTATATATATGTATAGGGTTTATATATATAGTTTTATTTTGGGGCAAGTTCAGGTCCTCTGAGCTGTTACTTCCTCCTCTCTAAAACCAGCAGGAGGGACTAGATGGTCTTAAAGATTCTTATCAGTGCTGATATCCTGTGATTCCGTGATTAGTTTCTCAGATGGATAGTGGGCTGGTGACTATTGTTGGGGAGGGCAGTATACTAGAGACACAGGAATGGGAGTATAGGGTAATACACCAGCCCACCAGCCCCATCCACACCCCCATTTCTTTATGACTTGATCCTAGAAGTCCAAAGGGAGAGAAAGAGAGGACTTGTCCAAGAGCCTCCTCTTGCTTCCTCACCAGGCCCTTGGATGACCCTAACTAGTCTGAGGGCGGGAGCTGGGGCTAGATAGGCCTACACTGGGAGTCCAGACTGCCCTTCCATGGGCCACCTCCCAGGCTTTGGTTCCTCCTCTCTCTCCTGTCAGTGAGACCCTCTGGAAAACCCCGCTCGGTGCTCAGCGCAGCACAGTACAGGAAGAGGAGAGGGGAGGTTTGTGGGTGAGTTCCTGTGGAGGTTCAAGCTCTTAGCTGTAGCTGTTGGAGCCTGTCATTTCCCTTCCTCCGCCCACCCAGCTGGGCAGCAGAGAAGTTTCATCACAGTTGAGTTGTTGTCCTTATAAGGGAAGGGCCTGCCCTTGGGCCACAGCTGGCTGGTAGAGAGCCAGACAAGCTTCCTGGTATCCTCCAGGCACCAGGAAAGGTGGGGATACCCCAAGCTTGCCAGAAGTCCCCAGGGCTGAGCTTCCATCTGAGGTCACAGACTCTCCAGAGAAAAAGCAGGAAACAGTTGATCGTGGCCCCAGGCCAGGACCCTAGAGGGTCAGATCCTAGGTCCTGATACCAACTTGTGGTCTCCTAGGCAAATTGTTTAAGCCTCAGTTTTCTAATCTGCAAATGGAGTGTAAGTAAATACATCTTCCTCCCGAGGCCACTGCGGTGACAATGAGACACAAATTTAGGCCTGCCAAATAGTAGATGCTCTGTGAGGCTGGGGTATATTAAACGTTTTCTATGAGGCAGTCCATGGGCTAAGTGTTCCACAACAATCCTGTGAAGAAAAGAATTAGCCCATTTTACAGATGGGAAAAACTGAGGCACGGTTTGCCTAAGGTCACTCATTCAGGGCTGAAGTTTGAATCTAGATGTGGCTGCCTCTAAATCTAAAGTCGTGGTTTTTCTACTTATAACCCTGCTACTTCCTCTAGGAACTTTGCTCCTTTAATAAAATTATGAGAATAGGGAAGAATCCCCACCATCATCTTTCTACCCTCCATGCTCCCCCACAGAGCCTCCCTCATAACATCAGAGAAACCTCCACTCGAGTGAGTTTACATAGCCTTTTCATGACATGTCTCATGGAGCGAGGAGGGAGGCAGGAAGACAGGACTTGAAAGAGGGCACAAAACATGGTGACTCCAGAAAGACATGGGGAGTCGCAGGTCCCAGGCTCAGGTGAGGCAGAGAGAGAGGCAATCTAGATGCCCCTTCCCTGCTCCATCCTAGGTCCGTCCACTGTAACTACCCACAGAACTTCAGGCCACTGAGAGATTGCAGCATGTATTCAAAAGCAAGACTCCTTTTTCTATACAGGCCTCCAGCCCCCAGGACCAGAGAGAAAGAAAGTTCTCACCACATCCTTCCTCAGCCTTGTGGCTGGCCACTGACACCTTCCCAGTAGCTGCACCCATTAATGCAGCCCTCCAGAGAGGACCTGGTTTCTGGGCCAGGGTGGCGGGGACACTCTTATAAGTAAAGAGACTTCTCTCCCTTACCTTGGTTCTTCCTCAAAGATAAGGGGCCTGTGAAGGTGAAGTGATTTGCCTGGGGACCCCAGCTTCTGCAGGCCACTCACTCAGTATGGTTGTCACATGTCAAGCCAGTGGAAGGGGAATTCAGGAGGGACACAAGGGTCATGGGCCTGATGACCCTCAGTTGATAGGCCCTGGGTCAGGTGCTTCCTGTTATGTTGGCCACCAGGCCTGTCCAGCAGCCCTCAGAGGATGGGATCCAGGCTTTGGGGAGCCTTTGTGGTGCTTTTGCACATTGGGGGAGTGGAGAGGACTGCAATTCCCCTTTCATGGGTGAGGAAACTGAGGCCCACTGATGCCAAGACTCACCGAGGTCCCTGGGTGGGACTCGAACATTGGCAGCTTGACTTGGATCTCTGTCTACTGGCCTGGGGGCTGCCAAAGAATGCTCAGTGAAGCCCTGGGGTTCTGCCGAGATATAGTAGGGGTGCCATGGGCATAAGGTAGGTTGCAGGCTCATCCCTAATCAGGACCAGGTGCTGAGGTTGAAATAACAGCTGGAATCACTTTGAACCATCATAAGAAACACGTGTGCAGGCAAGAATCATCAATGGAGACTAAATCTAGGGAGAAATTTTGATGAGGAGCAACATATTTGTGCATGGCGTTAAAATATCTTCCAGATTGTTTATTAGTTACAAGAGAAAAGTCATAACTCTACGGTAGAGAAATCAGACACCTTGACCAGGTAGCAACATCATCAATGACAGGCAAATGGAGGCATGTGTCTCCAGATGTGGTGCCCTGAGAAGGCCCTAGTAGCACCTATGCAGTTTTCTGGCTGAGAATCCATAACCTCAATCTAATTATGAGGAAACTTCAGACAAACCCAAGTGAGGAATGTTCTATTTAAAGGGGGGGAGGGGAAGGAGAGACCGTATTCTTCAAAAATGTTCATATCATGAAAGATAAATGCAGGCTGCAGAAACATTTTAGATTAAGAGACAAAAGAGACATGTAATATCTGACCCTACACTGAAGGAGAAATATAAATAATATCATTAGGTCAAATGACAAAATTGGAATATGAACAATAACTATCATATCAGTGTTAAAAAATACTGAAATTGACAACTGTACTATGGTTACATAAGAGAACATACTTATTTTTAGGAACTATACAGTGAAGTATTCAGGGGTAAGGAGCCATGACAACTAACTCTCCAATGATTCAGAAAAAAACTTGTGTTTATGTTGGAGAGAAAAAGCACTCAAAAGATAAACCAATAGAGTGTTCTCTGTGCTATTCTAATTCTCACAACTCTTCTGTTTGAAATTACTTCCAAATAAAGCTTTTAAAAATTGAAAAGCATTGTTCTTTATGACACGTAGCTGCCAGCCTATAAAAATGCATGTGTGGATGAAATTGGGGGCCTGGTTGAGTTTAGCAAAGATGGAGCATTGAGGGAGGGCCATGCCTCAGCCCAGCCCATGGGAAGGATGCCCTAGAACGGGGTTTGGCGGGCCAGTGAGGCCACTGATTATCCGCCCACCTTCTGCTTCCCTAAGGTCAGCCCTGGAGCTGGTCCCACACCAACAAACAGGCTTGCAGCAGAAAAGTTCCATAAAAAGGGATTTATTGCCAAACTTCAAGAAAGGCGCTTCATAAGCAGAAGACATGGAATGCCATCTTCCTCCAGGAGACAGGCAAGGTAGCACCATCCTCTTCTCCCTCCCCTGAAAGCTGGCTTCCCCCAGGGACCCAGGCTGCCAAGGCATGGTGACCCCATAGGAACCAATGGCATTAGGCCACTGAGGTGGCCCCAGAGCTACCCGCTCAGCCTGGTAACACTTAGAGGAAAAGGAGGCTCTAGTCCCTGGAAGCAGGTGACTTGGCTAAAGCTCCAGACAGCCCAGGCTGCTGGTGGGGGAAAGCTGTTCCCCAAAGGAAGATGGCAGGGGGCCACGTGACTATGGGCACCCGATGACATCCTTGCTCTCATACTGGACACAGATGAACAGGCAGACTGTGGTATGGGAGCCTAGTTTATCCAAGGAGTGTGGTTTGGGGAAGCCCATGGGGGCTCACGAGCCATGACATTGCTGCTCATCCCCACCCCGGCCCCTCCTGATCCCTAGCTATTACTCTCAAGAACAAAGCAGAAGTACAGTAAAGAAGGCATTGGCCTGCGCTGGCAGGCCTCAGTGGGCACGACTGGTGGCTGGATGTGGGGCAGTGGGGCAAAAAGACCAGGGCACACGGCTGTGACCCACCCTCTCCTCTTTCAGTAAACAAAAGTGCACATGCAGAAACCCCCTGAACAGGCCTTTCAGGAGCTTCTCCCCCTCCCATAGGTCCCAGGAAGAGTGGCTGCAACCCGCAGGGCCTCTGCACCTACAGGCACCACCCTCAGTCCAGTTGCTGCAGCAGGATGAAGACCGGATGTGCTCCCAGAGCCAGGGATGATGGGGGTGGGGGTGGAGGGAGGTGCCCTAGGGAGAGGCTCAGGGTGCAGGCACGGGCCAGGAGAAAATGCACCTTCCACTAGGAAGTTCAGGAGGAGCGGTCCTTCTAGGGCCTGAGCCAAAGGGGTGCGGGGAAGACAGGAGAGGGAAGTGGTTTCAGGCCCCAACATACCCTTCAGCATTAGAAGAAATGACTGGGATATTGGACCTGTTTGGGTTGAGGAGGAACCGCAGAGACCCAGATATAAATTCCATCTGGGGAGGCACGGAAGTTGGGGCGGCTTCTCTTCTGAATGTTGATTTATAATGAATTACATGCAGGATTTTCTGATGTTGATGTCGGGGCTATTCTGGGGTTCACCTCTATAAGAATGTGCAAGGCTGGTCACAAGCTGGTTCAGAGGCAGGACTAGAGTAGGAGACACTGCGAGTTCCTCTTCCACCCCGGAGTCCTCTGGTCACAATTCACCAGAGGGGAAGGCCTGCAGAATAGGACAGGCCCAGAGAAGGAGCACACAGCAAATGGCTTTCTGACAAATGTCTCCCACTTGCCTTCAGAGGCCCTAGCTGGCTTCCAGGTCTCCCTTGCTGAAGGATGAACCCACAGCCTGGACCCATAGTCTCAGCAGCTACTCGGAATAGATGGGTGGTAGGGCTGGTTACAGCTTGAAGTTGCCTTTGCCATGAGGCTCTCTGCCTGGGGAGGTCTGGACATGGAGGCTGTGGGGAACTCAGCTGTGCTCTATTTAGAAGTCAGGAATGTAAACTACTAGGGTGAGAAGCAGAGGTGATGCTACCCCAGAACTCCTAGGACTGTGCCAAAGCCCTGGGGCAGTTTGGAACAACTGTGTAAACACAGAGGTTCTGAGTAGGTGCTCCCAGCCCAAGCCAGAGCCTGGAGGCCAGCCCAGATAGCCAGATAGTAACCCTGGATGGCACCTGGCATCACTGGCCAAGGCAGGGCAAGAAGGATACCAGGAGTCTCTATAGGTCCTGGCCAAACCCTGACATGCCCAATGGCTCTTTGACAGACTGAGCAGAAGTATATTTCTCGGCAAAGTTTTGATGAAACTGGGCCAGCTAGGAGGGACAGTGCCCTGGCCCAGCAGGCCCTAGGGTGCACTTCTCCTATAGAGGGTCACCAGTTCCTTCTGCTTCTCTTGTAGCCCAGGTGCTTCCTGGCTCAGCTCTCCCAGATCTCGGATTTCCTGTAGGACCTGGGTGGCCTGCCTCAGCTGCTCCACAGCCTGGCTGAGCAATGTCTCAGCATTCACAGGGGCCGGCTCATTGCCCAGCACCTTGTTCAACAGTTTCTCCGTCTGCTGTGAGGCCACCTTCACCTCCAGATGGGCCCGGTACAGCCGTTCCCCAGGCTTCCATGGACGCCGGGGGCCTTCCCCAAGCAGGTCCCCCATGGAAGAGCAGCGGGGATGGAACTGAGGTGGCTGGTCCCTGGGGGGCAATGCTGTGGACGTTGTTGCATTCTTTGGGGGAGTTCCTGGGGTGCCCAAGGCTTCAGATGGCTTGACAGGCTCAGGACTGTCATCCACACCATTCACTGAGACCTGTGCTGGGCCTGGGGCAGAGGTCTCAGAGGCCCCAGGACTCTGGACTGGCCCCAAAGCCTCCATCTCACCCATGGAGGCTCTCAGTTTCTCCGATAAGATCTTAGGCGGGGGTGTAGGGGGTTTCCTATCCTCCTTGGGTGCAGCCTCAGAAGTCTCAGAAGAGGGTACCTGGGGTGGTTCTGCACTTTCAGGGTCAGGGGGCTCCTCAGGGCTGGGGTTCTCCCAGCTCACCTTCAGTTTGTCAGGCAGGACTCTGTTAGGGGGCTGCTCAGAGCCACTGTCCTTCTTCACTGCAGTCTCTGAGTCCTCTTGGCTCTCAGGGTGGGCCTCAGAGCTTGCTGAGATAGGGGTTGGGGCTCTCTCCCCTGCCGGGGTTTCCGCTTTGTCACCAAGGCTGGTCATCTCAGGTGCTGGGGAAGTCTTGGTAGGAGGCATGGGGGGCCGGAGTGCCTCCCGGGGTTGGGCTGCATTGACATCATTGCTGGGAGCAAAAACTGGAGGCCCACTGTCCAGAACATCAAGGTCCAGGCGCGAAAGCCCGTCAGAAGCTGCGTTGGCTACCTGGTGGGGGGCAGCATATGGGTGTCACCTTGGATGACTGGCCTTTGGGTCTGACGTGCCCACCGACAAGGGTACTAAAGCCCTCCCATCCAGGCTGCCCAGGTCCCCAGTCCCCCACTCTCCACACCCTCTGATGAATCCTCTCCTCTCCCTCACTCCTATGATCGTAGGCCAGGAAATCTGAGCCAGGGTGTCTTCTTGGTGCCCCAGTCTGCTTCTTCTGCTCTTTTTAATGACAACTGTACTGGCTTGGGCAGCAGGCCCTGTTCCTGACCCCTTCCTGGCTGTGTGGCCTTGCTAGTGTCCTTTCTCTGCAACCACCCACCCAGAGTTTCCACAGCCAATAGGCAACAGGACTAGGACTCAAATATAGGTCTCCAGAGTTGTCTTGCACTCACTTCTGCTTCCCCTCCCTAGAGACCTATCCGGTCCGCCAGCCTCACACCTAGCCCTCTGGCCTAGACCTCTCCAGTCCTTGCCTGCCCAGCTGCTCAGCAGCCTGTGCCCACTCTCCTCGCACCGTCAGATGTGGCCCCAGACCACAGCTGACTGCCAGAGGGGAACAGCTGCGCCAAGCTGACAGCTGATACCAACCTAGCCCCAGGGACTCATAGGGACACCCTGCAGCTACATAGTCATGGAGACCCTCCCAGGGAGCCTCGGAGACCCTGGAGCAGGGCTGGGCAGTAGGCCTCTCCCAAGATCCCTTTGATGGTGGGAGTCCTGGCTAGGACCCTCACTCCCTTTTACATGTGCACAGGTGGACACATGGGATGAGAGGGCCTCCCAGAATTCTTCTCCAAGGGTCTCCCCTCAAAGGCTGGCCCGCCCCCAGCATCTCCTTGACCTCTCACCGCAGGCATTCCTTTTCTCTCTAGCTGTTTCAGTCGCTCCCTCTACAGGCTTTCTTCCTTCAGCTGAGACGTGAACAGGCTGCCTCACCTCAAAACAAAGTCTCTAATAACCTTGTCCCCCTCCCTTCCTTTTCTTCCCTCCCATGGTACCCCCAGCCCAGCATCCCTAGCTTTGTATTCCCATGTCAACCCTTAACTGACTCCTCTGAGAAAATATGCTGTAAATGTCACCACCTGCCTTTTTCTCAGTCCTGCCCTTGTGACTGGCTGCCAACCTGGCTGACGACCCTCAAGTCCTGTACCCTTCTCTCCCCAGATGTGCCACTCATCTCTCTGGCCTCCTCTTCTTTAGCTTCCTACTGCCACCCCGGTCCCCAAATGTTAGCATTTGCTGAGGTTCTTTCCTGGCCTCCAAGACCTCTTTCCACTCACCGTCTGCCCCCATCAGCAACACCAGTCTGAAAGGAAGCTCCTCCTTTACCCCTCCCCTTGCCCATACCTTCTCCTAAATCCCCTGTGCCCAGGGCCTCTATTTGCTCAGCCTCCAGTCTTGGGGGCATTTCTGACAACCGTCCCTCTGTTCAGTCCACCTCTCCCAGACCCATATTCAGTCACAAGCCCAGGTGACTCTTGTTTCCCAGTCTCTCTCCTACTGGCCTCTCCCTTTACAACCCCTCTGGGAGTATGGAGGCCCTGCTTCTTCCTCTTTTTCTTGGTCCCCGGCTTTTTCCTCCCTCTAACCAAACCACTCTTCCCTGGACCTCAAACTGATCTCTGGAACACACCCTCCTCCACTCCATCCTGTCCCCAGTTCTGGCATTCAAGGCCTCCACAATTTCCTTCGCCCAACCCCACCTTCCCTGACACATCTCTCAGTCAAAGGGACTCGGCATACCTTGAACTCTCCTGCCTCATGCCTCAGCTCACATCATTACCTCTACCAGGCATCTCCTTCACATCACATCTGCCAGTTGAAACCGTTCACTTCCTTCAAGGGTCAGCTCAAGCACCAGTGGGTCTTCTGGGGTCCCTCTTGCCCTGGCCTCCCAGATCCCGCAGTACAAAACTTAGACATAGCTCTACTTGGAGCACGTCTTTTCTCCAGCTGGAAGCTGAGCTCTGAGAGGCAAGGAGTAATCTCAGGGTCTCAGTTTCCTTCAAGCACCAATTCTGGCTAAGGCCAGTGTGTGGACTCAACAAGCACAGCAGGTGCATCTATACCCTGAACACATCTAACACGTGTGCCTTTACACACAGCTCCCCGCAAAACACTTGAGAAGCCCCAGCTCCAGAAGTCCTCCAGGAAAAGGGGTCTCTAAGCCTGGTTACCATCCTAAAGTGCTGGGTCCCAGGTTCAACTGACCTCCCACCTGTACTAGCTGGGGTAAAGTCTTACCTCCTTCAGATGGACTCTTGTAGGTGGCCGGCGCCGCTGGCCCCCACGCACCCGGTCCCGTGTCACATGCTCCAGGGCACAGCTCTTGTCCACCTTTACCTGGGAAGGAGAAGGAACCAGGTCAGTCCCCATCAGGCTTTGGGGGGAAGAAGAAATGCTCAGGCGTTAGCTCAAAGTCAGGGTCTGCACCCGCATACTCACTTCACAGGGTCGAGCACCCTGTCGCTACCTCTCTCTTTGAAGCATCTCCCCATGTCCAGACCTGTTCTTCTCATGACCTCTACACTGCCTTTGTCATCTGCCTGCAGTCTGAGGCTCTCCCTTTTTCTGCAGCTGCCCTCTTTGCCTCAGTCTTCATGCCTGAATATAGGCTATCAGCCCTTTGCTCCTCAGCCTACTGTGACTTAGTTGGGCTTAGTTGGAGGCGGGGGAGAAGATGGCCCATAATCTCCTGGTACCTGCTTCCAGAACGGGCCTTGTCCTAACCCCTGTCACTCTCCCAGGACCCCTGGGGATATGCCTGGAAAGAGCAAGGCCTCTGCCCCTTTGGGTCAGGGGATCTGGAGAGTAGTATCTCTGTTCTCAGGATAAGGAAAGGAGGGAGATGAGGGTAAGGGTGAGTAATAGCCCAAGAAACCACAAAGCAAAGATTCACAATACCCATAATATGTCTCATCACTGCTGTCCCACAAAATGGGGGCACTTTCCCCAGCTAGTGAAGGGTCAAACATGACTGTCACCTAAGACACAACATAGGAGCCATGGCTTTGAGTCAGGGGCCTTGGGAAGATTCGCTCCCCTTGGGTCTCAGACTTCTGCAATCCAAAGGCCATCCCAGGTGGCCCCTAGGTCCATTTTAGCCCAATTAGTTTTGAGTCAAAGACAATCTTCTATAGGAGATTTGCCACAGGGGACATCCTGATTGCCTCAAGCCTGATCATGGCTGCTGTTGCCACCATCACCACTACAGTACTGGCAACTGAGTGGCCATTGCAGACAGATAGGGAGGCCCAGGTTAGAGCCAGACTGGCCTGGACTTCATAGCCAAACTGAAAAATGAGCTTTCTGACTCTCAACTCACCCCCCAGACCTCTCTGATCTAGGCCTACCTGCTGTTTCCAGTTGGAAAGGATGCATGGCTGCAATCAGTTAAATTCTCTACTCTACCGCTTTATGCATGTTTTTATCTAAAGTAAATTCACTTAATTTCCTTATACCTCAGTTTCTTCATCTGTAAAATGGGAACACTACTACCTAGTTGTGAGGATTTAATGAGGCGACAGCAGATGACCCAAAGTTTGTAGCAGTGACATAATCAAGGGCTTATCTGGGGTGTGGTGGGGCAGGGTCTTCTCTGAGATCACACACACAGTGAGAAAGAGACACAGAGCCATCTGCAGGACTGCATCGCACCTCATCAAATGCCTTGTTCTTGCCTCGGTTGATCCCTTCATTGAGGGCTTTGATCCAGGATTCCTTCTCCTCCCCGCTGGGTGCTTGGAATTTGATGTTACTGACCTGCAGGGAGCATGGATAGGGTGGATGGCAGATGTTTAAACGGGTTTGCATTTGGGGTCTTAAGGAAGCTTCCCACCCAGATCCCAAAGTTGAAAATCAAAACGACCCCCACAAGAGGTCTGACACCAGGCAGGGAGGGGAAGGTCCAGAAGGAAGGTGCTCCTCCCCTATGTGCCGTTGCCAGAGATTTGGATTAGAATCAGCCTTGCCCCATGGAAAGAGCCCAGATCTGGTCTTGCCCCATGTGACTGACTGCCCTAGGCCAGCTGCCTGATCTTTGGGCTCCAGTTTTCTCTGTAAAGTAGGAGTAATCTCAGTCTCCTAAGACCTCTGATCTGGACAGAGGTTATATAATGAGGATGCTGAGGGGCAACTAACTGCCTCTTAGCCCAGCCATCAGGGCTGCCAGGGGCTCAGGAAGGGACAGCGTTGTATCCAGGCTCTTCCACTTACAGCTGGAAGACCTTGAGCCTCAGTTTCCTCATCTGTAAAAGGAAAACACCACATAACCTGCCTCATGGAGCTGTGAAGATCACTGATGGATCTAAAGTGTTGAATTAAGCTAGGCACAGAGTGAGTGCTCAGTAGTGGGAATTATCACCCTGGCCTTTCTTCTGGACGAAAGAGCCCCAGTTTCCTCATCTGGAAAAAGGGATAACACTGCCTACCACAAAGCAATGCTGAGGGAATTCAACCTGACTAAAGCCAGGGCATGCCATATAGTAGGTATTCGATAAATGGTAACTGAATGAATGAGCCAATAAATGAATGAACTGGCCCGAAGTTCCTTCCTTTGCCCTGTATTTGGGCTGCTGCCCACTCTCTGACCTCAAGATGCCCTAGTTCTTTGTCCAGCAGGTCGCCAGCCTGCCCATCCCCCGCCCCGGTGTTAGATAGCACCTTCCCTCCCGCCCCTCTCAGTTATGTAACACCGCAGTCCGCCTGGCCCCCTCAGCATCCTCATTATATAACTTCCTCCTGGCTGCCTCCCTCCTGCTTCTCCCCACACAGGGCCCTGGGTCCCACCCACCTCCTCATGCCAGGCACAACCAAATGCTCATTTGCATGACCGGGGTAAATTCGATCCTGGCAGCAGATCTGCAGTTAAGTCAGAAACCCCAGGGCACCTTGGCAACTGCCTCTTAGCCCAGCCATCAGGGCTGCCAGGGGCTCAGGAAGGGACAGCGTTGTATCCAGGCTCTTCAAGGGCCCACCCAACCCTGTGACAGGGCTGTGAGAAAGGCGGACCAGGGCCAGCCCCTCTGAGTTCAGCTGCTACTCCTACTCATAGGCCTGGAGTTGGCGGGGCCCCTGCCTGGTGTAGGATTTAGCATCCCAGAGAGCTTGAGAAGCATACACTTGAACTTAGCAGTAGATGCAGCAAGAACGGAGCAGAGAAAGGACACTGGCCCGGTGTCAAGATCACAGGTTTCTATTCTAGTCCCACCAACCCTCAGTGGCACCCTGCATAGGTCTCTTCACTACTTGGGGCCTCAGTGGGACAAGAACAGACCACTGGACCCAATTCAAACTGTGGCCTTTCCCATTGGTCGGCCCACGTAAGGCAGACTGAAGGGAGTGTGTTGGCCAAAGGGCTCCCCTACGAGAAGGAATACAAAGTTAAATGGGACCCAGCCTCACCCTTAGTAACCCTGTGACCTCTCCTGAATGAGCCAGGCATCCTACGAGGGTGCTCAGAACAGGGACCAGCTGAATACCAAGAAGTTGCTCCTCCTGACTCACCCCCACCCCATGTCCCAAAGAGCCACAGGCTGCACAGGTCCCTCCCCAAGTCCTTCCAAGAAGTCCCAGGGGCATAGGCCCTGTGAGGACCTTAGGAACGAACAGGACTGACCACAGGATAGGGCCACATGGACTGGGAAAGGGGGGAGGACAAAAAGACAGGGAAAAAGTGAGAGGGGGAGAGGAGGGAGGAAAGAGGAAAGGGCCAAGCTGTCTGAGACCAGCAGGGCAGCAAGGCCCAGCAGAGGCCACCCTGCTTCCTGGCAGAGTCTGCCTGTGACCTCATGGTAGGGATGAGGAGGCAGGGGGAGAGGGGCATGCAAGACACTGGAGTCTTTGTTTATTTGATTAGAAGAAAAAAACAGGCGGCTTCAGGACCAGACAGCCAGGGTCATGTGACCTCTTGGCCAGTGGGCAGCCTCACTGAGGATGGGGAACACCCAGGGCGACAGGAAAGGAGGGTGAGAGAATATAGGGGATGTTGTGCTCTGGGAAGTCCCCCACATTTGCCCTCTGGAGAGCCCCGACTCTCTGTGTGAGTTCCTGGGGTGGCAAAGATCAGAGGGCCCTTGAGCTGGAGTCAGGATGTGCTATCTTTTCACTGCCCTGTACTCTCCACCAACTGCTCCGCAGCCCATTTCCCTAACTGATCATCCTGTTCCCAGAGTCACCCAAAGCCAAACTGAACTCTCAGCAGAATTAGGGGATAGAAAAGAGGGTGTTGGCCAAAGTGGCTGAGAATATAGCTGCACAAACAGGTCTCTCCAAAAGTGATGTCTCACCTTGCGCTGGGCCCAACCCACCTAGCCTATCACCAGCTGATCCTCGGAGCTGGGGAAAGGAGGTGGCCCACAGAACAGCATGGACAAAGGACAGAGAAGCAAGGCCCCCTCCAACCCATGACCACATAAACTCACTAAGAGACACACAGAAACCCAGACAGACCATGGCCAGGTGAACACGTACCTGCACATAAAGAGATATACACATGCACACTGGACATATAGGAGCAGACCTTCATGCATAACAAACTCTGCACGTCTCAAACACACAAACACAAATACATCACCCTAGAGAGGAAGCAGTGTTCCAGGACAGAGTAGGGCTCTAATGCCTAAAAGACCAAAACATGGCACTCTTCCTCAAAGAGCCCTAAGCAGCAGATGTCAAGTGAAACCTTGTCCCAGCCTCATGAACACTACAAACCTGCCCCCACCCTGGGCATACCCCCAATCCCAGGGTCAGAGCCTTGCAGTTGATTCTTTGTTCCCACCCAGTGCAGAGCAGGACAAAAGGTTAGTGAGTAAAGCAGCATGGTCTCCTCCAGGGTCCAGAGCCACAGAGGACTGGGCTCCTGGCCCTGAAAGCTGAGGAAGAAACAGAATGGCCTCCAGCAAGCCCAGACCAGACCCACTCCCCAACCCCCAGGCTCTCTGACTCAGCGCCACTCCAGGAGGCTCCACATGACATGCAGAGGTCGGGATGAGGCGTGACCCAGCTGCAGATGGGCGTGAGCTGGCAAGATGTGCTGTACACGCCAGCCTAGAATCTGACTCCCTCTCGATATCTATGCCATGTGTCAACACCCACCCAGACTCCCTGCCAGAGATACGCGGTACAAACAGCAAACTTCATCTGCACACACAGCATGTCTCAGGAAAAGAACTTCTCAGGCAAGAGACTTTTTCCAGCATCAGCCAAGAAAGGAAAGTACAAGGGGAGGAGAGCTGGGGGGCTGCACATCTCTGAGCACTGAGTCCAGGATGGAGAGTAGAGGGGTGGCCCACCCAGGAAGGCCTGGGATGAAGGGGAGGCCACACCTTCCCCTCTGGCCCAGACTATATCACAGTGTCAGAGGCCTGGTAGGATGAAGGCCTCATCCCTGGGCCTCCTGTGTCCAGGGTGTGGGAGAAGGCCAAGGGCCCCACCTCCCAAAGGCTACTTTCCAACTATAGCCTGGGAAGGAGGCTCCAGAGCCTGGAAGGGGAGAGGGGAGCAGAGTTCTCACCAGAGCTCTAAATACATCTCCTATCAACCAGGGGCTGGGGAGACAAAACGAGCAAAAGGTTCGACCTGCAGCAGCTCCGGGTTTGAGCCTCAGGGAACACTCCACAGAGAATGTGTAGGCTGCATCTAGAAGCTCAGCCTATCTTAGAGAGCCCCCAGGGGTGATCCTCCAAAGCAGACCCCAGCCTGGAGGGAGGTCAGGCCACAGTAGGCACAGCCCTACCTTGTTCCCTGGGGATCGCAGCAAGATAAAACGATGTTTCCGCTTAAGGAGGGCACGAAGGTCCTGGCACTTCTCATAGCTGCCCAGCTCCACTGTCTCCACGCACTTCTGCTCATCCTGGGGAGGGAGAGAGAAAGGATATGAAGTGGTGAGAATGAGATGCACCCAGACACTTGAATACGCAGACCCCACCTCAGACCCTGATCCCACTCAAGTGAGGGCATCACTTGGTCAGGCTGCCAATAAATCACCAAGATGAGGTATAGCAAGTCCACGCTATCTGGAGGGACACCCTCAAGGCTCACCGTGCACATGAGAAATGGGGCTCATAGCCCAAAGGTGGGGAGCAGGGCTGACTCAAATATGCCTAAGGTCAAAAGAGGCAACAGAGGAAGCTGGAGAGGCTTAGAAAAGGGTGCCTGAGGGTCCATGCAGTCCTAGAGGCCAGGCAGAGATCTGTGGAAGAGGTATCTGGAAGAAGGAGCAAGTTGTCACAAAATGAGAAAAGGCTTTCCAGGCAGAACCACAGAGGGAAGCATGAACGAGGCACGCTTGCGGCTACATGCCCTGCCTTTACCACAGTGATCCTGAGTTGACTTCTCCACCTGTATCTTCCTCTGCTGACCCTTGTCTTGGGGTGAGAGGCCACTCTCCATGGCCTGCACAATGAAGAGGACAAGGGTTCCTTTAAGAGCACCCCACACACACAAGGCTGTCATCCTGAGGCCTTATCACTAGAAAGGCCAGTGGCCAGGACAGTGGGCAGCCTCTTCTAGGCCACCCCTGAATGCTGACTGGTCTGCCTTCCTGCTCATCAACCCTGGCACCTGAGTGCTCTCCAACAAGCTGCCTAGGACAAGCTCTTCCATCAATGGTGGTCAATTGCTTCCTCTTCCAGGAAGACCCAGCTGGAACAACTTCCTAGATGTGGTACAGTCTCACCCTAGAGACTTTAGGCAAGTAGCAGCAGGTGCTGGGGTGGGGTGGGGGGTGGGGGGCATTGCCCTGGAGACTGGCCAACAAGTGAAGGCAACTCTTGCTGTTGTAAGTCATGCAGCCAGCCAGCAAGAGCACCCACCCAGGGATCTCCTCAGTGCTCTGCAGTTTTGGTGAAATATCTAGGAGGTAGTGACTCAATTATTTGCAGAAGAAATGCCCCAATTTCCCTCCATGATAATCTGCATATACAGTTGGCGCTCCATATCCAAGGATTCCTCATACACAGATTCAACCAACCTTGAATCAAAAATATTTGGAAAAAAAGTTACCTTGTTGCTGACCTAGATTATTTATTTCGGGTTTTTCCCATACTAAACATGTACAGACATTTCTTTCCTGTCATCATTCCCTAAACAATACAGTTTAACAACTATTTACATAGCATTTACATTGTATAAGGTATTATAAGTAAGCTAGAGATAATTTAAAGTATATAAGAGGATGTGTGTAGGTTATATCCAAATACTATGTCACTTTACATAAGATGCTTGAGCATCTGTGAATTTTGGTATCCACAGGTATCCTGGAACCAATCCCCTGTGGATAATGAGGGACTACTGTACTGAGAAACACTGACACTCAACAAGCACTCAGGTACCTTCCTGATTCTCCTGAGCCTCTCAATCGCCCTAAGAAAGCTAGTATTTGCCTCATTTTACAGAGGAAGAGAATGAGGCCTGGAGGTGAAGTGATTTGCCCTAGGGTCACAGACCCAAGTATAAGGGGTAGGGCCAAACTCAAACCCACATCCTCTGACTCCCAGGCCAGAGCTCTTCCCATCACAGCGCATTCCTCCCAGCCAGAGGCAGAGGCTTGGTAAGTGCCTTAGCAACAGGGTGCTCTACACTAGTGGTTCTCTAAGCATGGTACCTGGTCCAGCAGCAGCAGCAGCATCACCTGAGAACTTGTTAAAAATGCAAATTCTCAAGCTCCATTCCTCCTTAATCATAAGCTTAGGGGAATGGGGTTGGCAATCTGAGTTTTAACAGCCCTCCAGGTGATTCGGAGATATACAAAAGTTTGAGAACCTCTGTTCTACACCAGAGGTTCTCAACTTTGGTGGCACATGGAATCCTTCAAAACTCCAATGCCCAGGCAACATCCCAGACTAATCAGGATCCCTGGGGGGATGAGAGGGTGGAGTCTGGACACCAGTATTTTCCAAAGCAGATGACTATACAGCTAAAGTGGATTACCACTGATCTACCCTCTCTTCAGCACCTCAAGGAAAAGGGAACAGATGGCCAGGGTGACCTGAGCTTTCCCATCCAAATTCAATCAGGTGTCTTTTCCACTTTTGCCTCCACACATCTCTTTCCACCCCCTAGTCTCCAATTCCTTCCCGGTTCCTCCACTCAACACAAGAGATAGTAAAATCCATCTGGTCCAGGAAGCTCTGCTGCCCACTCCTATGAGCCCAAGCCATGGTGCTCCCTCCCTCCTTTGAGGTTGCTAATCCGCAAAGCACCTGCCAGGTGCAGGCACTGGACTAGGCACTAAGGACACCCTGCCATGGGGAAAAACAGTCCTAATCCCTGCTAGGCCATCTCTCTCTATCCTATGCTGCAAGTGTCTGCTCTCCTTTCTGTTCCGCCTACTGTGCCCTAGTAGCCCTCAAGAGGGATACATATAGGACCAGTTTGCTGGACTGAATGCCTGGCCCAGAGTGAGACCCAGGAAGTCCTCTCCTCCTGGGCATCCAGAGGAAGGAAGCTGCCTGGGAAAGGACACCCCATTGCAGAGAGCACAGTGCACCTGTCCCATGTGCACAGGCCTCCCCCAGCTGGACAACTACTGGCCCAGACGAAAAGTCAGCCCGTCTCTACCACCCAGTTCCCCACGGCTGCCTGACCTGGGTCTCCTCTTGACCTGAAATGCTGAATCATCTGGCCCTTCTGCAGCTCAGAAAAACGGATAAACCAGCAGACACTAGGCGGGGGCAGCATTTTTGGAACATCAGCCTCACTGACAGCAAGGAAACAGCCAAGAGCATTCGCACTCGCCTAGTTTCTTACATCAAGAAAGAGGAATTGAACTAATAAGCATTTCTCAATTCCTACTCCTGGGCCAAGCTCCCCACCCTTGAGGGCTAAGTTCTTGAGGCTGCACTGGGGTTTTTAATACTGATTTTGTTTTTAAAAGCACAATTTAGATTTTTCGTGTTTAGAGGATGTGAAATCCTCCCTGCTTCCCAGCTGTGGCCAGATGTGGAGAGGCGGCCCGGGGCAAGTCTGGCAGCGCCTGACAGGCTAACAGCTGAGGGCCTGTCATTCAACTAACTCTTAGGCAGCTGGGACTGGAGGAAGCTGCAACAACGCCTTTTATTTATAAAAATATCCCCCTGCTGCCACCACAGCACATCCTCATTTGGGGACAGCAGTGGTGTAGAACATCTGGAGGGCTGTCTGCGCAATTCATCTCCTTGCCCTCCTCCAGCTGCCTCTCTGACACCTCAATTCAATGAGCCTGGGCCTCCGGCAGGAGAAACAAGGTACTTCTCAAGGGCAAATCCTTTAAACACATAGATCTGTGTGCCCAATCTTTCTTGGCCTAGGACAATTATAAATTTGCCAAGGTACCAGGAGGAATGCTGAGAGAGGCTGATGGGGAACAGGCAGGATGTCCCTTCCACTGCCAGGCCAGTTCTTCCCCATGTATTCCATCTGTCAAAGGCATACAGTGATAGCCCATTTTCAGTGGAGGGACCCTCTGATAGCCTCAACCCCAGAACACAAACATCATTTACAAGTAAAAGGCACCTTTCCTTCTCAGGTTTTCACCCAGAGCTTTGTCAACTCTTACTTAACACACAATTTTAGTTTCCTCAGTTATCCAAGTTCCAAGCCTGCTTAAATGAGAAGGGGCACAAGTTTGGAGTGGGAAGATGTGAGGACTGTGAGAGGCACAAGGACAGCAGCAGTGGCAACTGGCAGCTTCATATTAAAAGAGAAAGAAAAGCTGAAAAGTACAGTCTGGCATTACAAAACAGTCTGATGATAAGTGCCTCTGAGCCACCAAGGAAAGACTCAATTTAGGCCAGTGTCTTCTGTTGAAGAAGGTAGAGAATATTCTACATATTTTAGAGGACTTCCACCAAAAGTAACTTTTAGAGTTTACTTGCTAGCACTGATGGGTGGAAAGAGCACTAGATTTGGTTCTAGACCTGGCTCCGTCATTCACTGAAAGGTGAATGTTGAACAGTCATTTGGCCATCCTGAGCCTCAGCATCCATCCCTGTAAAACATGACATGATGATCACCCTCATGGGACTGTCATGAGCATCATATGAGAGGTATGTAAGAACTCCAAAAACACATGAGCAATATAAGTATTATTTCTACATTCACTGCTAAATAGAGCAAGCTTCAGTTTTCTGGAACATTCACATATGTGGAACCTAGCCCAGGGACAGGAAGTTGCAGTGTAGGTGTACAGCTGAGGAGACACACATCCCCCTGTGCACATACGCTTCAAAGAGCCCCTTATCCAGGAGCCATAGACTTGCATCTGGAGGTATTATCCTTATGCCGCAGAGACACAGAGACGATCAGGCACTCACCCAAGTTTACACAGCATGGCAAAAGTAGAACACGTCTTCCAGTCCTGGTTCTGGGATCCTCCTGCTGGTTTGGGCTGCCCTCACTTTGCCTCCTGCACTAGCACCCCAACCTTCAGGGCCAGGCAAGTTCTTACCTCATTCTCATAGACCAGTAGCTGAGCCTGGCAGAGGAGCAGATAGCGATCTTTCCAAAGCCCCAAGAAGCCCCCGCTGCTCTTCTTGATCCAGCCAGCCTTGTCTGCCGTCCGTGCTTCCCGAGGCTTCTCACCCCCGTCCTTCATACCCTGTAAGATAGCACCAGGACATGCCATGAGAGTTGCCACCATGGGGCCACCTAGTCCATAAGCCATTCTAGGGATGTGTCCCTCTTCTGGGTACCTACTGATAGCATCCCATGTGAGCTTCCCCACAACCCCCAAGGCAGATATTCTTAATCCAGTATTAGAAATAAGGATAATAATAGCAGCAACAATAATAGCAGCAGCCACTTTGTATTGAGCCATCGTGTTACATTTTATACACATTTAACCCATGTGACTACCCTCCGAGGCAATGGCATCATTATCCACATGTCACAGCAAACTGAAGCTCAGAGAGGGATGACATGCCATACTCACACAGCTGGAGGGGCAGAGCCAGAATTCAAACTGGGTCTCTGACCCCAAGTTCTTCCTGCTCCTCCATTCTGCCTTCAAGGTGTTCATTCAACAAACCAACAAATGTTCTGAGCACCTATGATGTCACAGGTGGTAGTACAGACAAAAAGGAATAAAAATAATGGATCTCTGCCCTCATAGAGTGGGAAATATGGGAAGGAGTTGCTGGACAAATAAACACCAGACACAAACACATTAAGAAGTGCGAAATGCTATGAAGGAAACAGTGAAGGGGTTGGTGAGAGAGTACAGTGCAGGACCTGGTCCAGGCAAGAAGCCCAGGAAGGCTGCCCAGGGGAAAGGACATTTAAGTAGGATCAGAAGGATAAGAGGAGGCAGGCAGGCAGAGTGGTAATCTGCCTCTCTACCCCAACCCTTCTAAAGAAGCCCCTCTGTAGCCCCTGCATCTGCCTCAAAATAGGAGGCTTCTCTGCCCTCCTCCCAACCTCAGGCCAGGACTTTGGGGCAGCCATCCTATCTGATAAGGACTACAAGGACTATGCCTTCAACCAAAGGCTAGAATGGGAGGCAAACTCAGCCTTTCTCTTATACAGCTGCCCTCCAGGCACTGACATCTTGTGCCTCTTTATTACCTGCTTGGGTAGCTGGGTGCCAGGTGTATGCCTACCAAATGGGGTCAGATTCACTTCTGGTTCCCAGCACCTAGCACTGTTCCTTTACACATAATGAGTATGCAAGAAATTCTGTGAAATGAAAATAAAAATATACCCGATTTGCTACCACTTTGCTTCAGTGACTGGTACCCACAGTAGTGAGTGTGAAGGGGAAGGTAGAGGAGAGGGGGTCAAGAGCGTGTCAGAATCTAGAGGATGCTAGAAGGAAATTAGCACTAATTTTGACTACTTTGTAATTTACATAAAGCTCAAAAAGGGGCCCCAGTTAGAAGGAGCACACCTCTCCCCAGGGGATACTCTGTGGCCACAGCTGCCTTTGGAAGGACAAGCCCAGGCAGATGGAAGTGTAATGAGTTGTCAGGGGCTAGGTAGGGCCCAGCCTTCCTGCTCTCTATTATGGCAGGGGAGCCCTAATTTGGTTCTCACTGTGCCCCTCCACCCCTGTGAACAGCACACTCTGTGGCAGTTGGGAGTCTAAGCTTTGAAACTCAAGTCATGCTGACCACAGGCAAGTCATCTGATCTCTCTAAGCCTCAGTTTCTTCAGCTATGAAATGGAGATATTAATAGAAGTTGCAAAGTTTATATATAACTACATTCGGGCACGGGTTTTTGTTTTGTTTGCTGCTACATCCTCAGTGCCTACACAGTATCTGGCGCATAGTAGCTGCTCAATAAATGTTGCTGAATAAAAATATGGCATATAAAGCAGTGCCTAGGATATCCTAAAGCAGCAGTCCCCAACCACTGGGCTGCAGACCAGTACCGGTCCGTGGACTGTAAAGAACCGGGCCGCGCAGCAGGAAGTGAGCGGCTGATGAGGGAGCCAAGCTTCATCTTTATGTGCAGCCGCTCCCAGCACTAGCATCACCGCCTCAGCTCCACTCAGATCATCAGGCATTAGATTCTCATAGGAGCACTGGTTCTTGGTGCCAAAAAAGTTGGGGACCGCTGCCCTAAAGTTAGTAAAGGGTAGCTGTCTTTATTGTTACCGTCGTCACTGCCATCCCCTCTGACTCTCAGGACCCTCTCTCCCTAGGCCTGGTTCAGAATTTAGAACGAGACCTTTCCAGGCTTAGCTGCTGGGCATCAATGTTCTAGGAGCTCTTTGGAATGTGAGGTGCCCCCTTCAGGTTCTCTCCCTAACTTGTAGATGACAAGAAAAATGGGGAAGTGGGATGGTCCCAAATGGTCTTCCCGGATGGAGGGTGAGGAAGTGGGAGACTTGCCTACAGGCCAGTTATGAGCCACCCTGACCAGAAGAGGAGACTTCAGGGCCCTTTACAAGAAGAGGGAGGCTCTCGTATCCTATCATGCATCCAACCCCCACTCCCTAAAGCACCAGATCCTCCCCCATGGGCTGTGTGAACCACAGGGGCCTCATCACCTCAGTGACCTTTGCAAGCTGGCCCAGGCCCAGGGCTGGAAGGGAAGAAGTGGGCAATGGGAAACCCCATCCCTACATTTCACACATCACACCCCTCCGTCAGCAACTGCAGCACCGTTGGCCACTTCCTAGGCCTACTGACTCTTGGCGTCTCTTAAACAAGGCAGCTAGGTAGGCATGGTACAGCTTGAAGCTGCTGCCTAGGTCTTCCACTTCTGAGCTCCAAGCTCACCTTCTCTTTTCAGGGGCCCACCTACCATCCCATGGGATCTCATACCCCTTTCTAAACCTCCTCCACTGTGACTCCCCCTGCCTGCCTCACCCACTGACACGTGAAAACTTCCTGCCAGCTGGAAGCTCCCAGTGATCAAAACTGAAACCTTGTGCTTTGACCGCTGTCCTCTCAGGGTATACAGCAGAGCAGTATCCAGTGAATAGCATTGCTGGATTAGCTAGAGAAGAAAGTCCAGGGCCTTAGGGAAGGATGGGGCTGGGATGAAACTGAGGCAAGAAGGCACTTTGGGATGGCGGAGTGACAAGTGAGGGGCTGGAGGCATGAACCAAAGCCCAAGAAACGGTCTCCATATCAGGAATCAGCCATAGCAATAGTAACATGAAGGGAGACCAGGCTGCAGGTCCCACTTGCCTGCCACCCTTCGCCCAGGCCCAATCCCTCCTCAGATACTCTCTCACCAAGGGGCCTGGCTTTGCCCCAGTATATTTTAATAAGTGGCCCCTCCCCCTTGGCAGGACTCACAGGGGAGGTTTTGTCCAGCTCAGCCCAGTTTCTCAGCATCCTCTCCTCTTGTTGACCAGCTGACCACTGTTTTTCCTGTTTCACCCCCTCCTCTCCCATCCATCCTCACTCAGGCCCTCCCCTGACCACTGTAGGACAATCCTGAGGCACCCTTTGGCACCAGGTCACCTTCACCCTGCGCCCAGAAGGGAACAGGTGGAAAGCCACAACATAGGCCATAACAGAAGACAGAGGCCAGCAAAAGAAAACTTGTTGGCACCTCGCATCACAGGGAGTTTATGACAACCTTTGCACTTTGACTAAACCTAGTGATGCTCTGACCAAACTCTGCTACGAACCCACCATGTCAGAGACATGAGACGGGGCAATCAGAGACTGGAAGCACTGGCGGAACTTCCAGTCTGATAGGGACAACAAAGATCCTGAATAAGGGAAGTCCCAGGTTTGGGAGTTAGGTGGGCATCCCCTGCTTGAGAAGACCCCAGCCGGTTGGGAGATACATAGCACCAACCCAGAGATTAGCTCAAGGTCACAAAACCAGTCCTCGGACAGGATACTCACTGCCCTGCCTCTCTCTAGATATGAAAGGGTAACTGAGCGGCCTGGAACCACTGGAGGCCAAGCCAGGAAAAAGCATGACTGAGAGAACAGGGCAAAGATGGGAAAGCCTGGGTCCAGGGTTTTCAACCTTACTCCAGCGGCAATACCTCGCATTGATATTTGCAGTTTTCAAATCTTCTGCACATATATCATCGCATTTCTGGATCACCCACCTTCCTCATTTTATA